CCTAAGGGTGATTGCCGATCTAATAAAAGTGGCTAAGAGACTGAAAGTGTTTTTGACAGCCTTGTGGGATTAAGACCACGTAAACAGAAATACGTGTCTAAGAAGGGTGGATCCAGTTAAACTCTATCCTTGGGTTAGAACCCAAAGGGCTCTATAGTAATAGTAAGGGTGAACTGGAAGGAAATCAATATTCACATGGATGTTGACTCAGATCAAATGATCTTGTTGGCCTAGAAAAATACTTGTGCCTGAAATTGGATGTATATGAACTGAGATTGCTAATGCACACATATGCATTATAGGAACAAATGACAATCCTCTCTGAAAAAAAGTTAGCATTATCCTAGACCTCAAAGCATTTGTTTAAGCAATTTAAAAAATCCAATGACCAGCTCACAATCAAGGATAATCAGGCAAATGAGGAGATAAGTAAACATAAGCAAGAATCCTTAGAAAGAAAACAAAAAATCAGACACACAGGTAGTTCAGATACTGAAATTATTAGACACTGACTTTAAAATAACTTGTGCTTACTAAGCTCAAAGAGATAAATGACGTAACTGAAAATTTCACAGTGAATTATAAACAATACAAACAATATATAGTAGTTTAGAAAAAGAACAAAGCGGAAATTCTAAAATTGACAAATAACCTAAATTGTGGTCTCAGTGGATTGGTTTAATAGCAGATTAGTCCATTCCAAAGAAGGAATTAGTGTAACTAGTAGAAAACATACACAATGAAGAATGGAAAGGCAAGAGGATAGATAAACAGAAGAAAAAGTAAACGTCATAGAGGATACCATGAGAAGCTCTAACATTTAATTGGCACTCCAGAGGGAGGATAGTGTGTATCAGAGAACTGTATGGAGCAAAATGTCCAGTAATTTTTCAAAAATTATGCTGGTTATTCATCCATAAATTCAAGTAGCCCAGCAAAGTCCAAGCAAGATAAGTAAAATTTACATCTCGGCAGCTGGTAGTAAGAATTCAACAGTCAATTGTAAGCCAGTAACTCAGAGATAACCACTATTCACATTCTTAGATAGTGAGATTGGTTTTGTGTCCTAACATGTGGTCTATCCTCAAGAGTGTTCCATGTGGTGATGAGAAGAGTGTGCATTCTGTATTTGTTGGATAAAATGTTCTGTAACTGTCTTTTAGGTCTATTTGCTATTAATTGCAGTTTAAATCCAATATTTCCTTGATAACTTTCTGTCTGAGCAACCTGCCTAATTGTGAGAGTGGAGTGTTGAGAACCCCAACTATGATGATATTGGAGTCTATCTTTCCCTTTTGATCTAATAATATTTACTTTGTATATCTGGGTGCTCTGGTGTTGGGTTAATATATGCTTAGAATTATTATGTCCTCTTGCTGAATTGATCCCTTTGTCATTATATAATGAGCTTCTTTGTCTCTTTTTACTGTTTTTGACTTAAAATCTGTTTTGTCTGATGTAAGTATAGCTGCTTCTGCTTATTTTGGTTTCTGTTTGCATGAAATGTTTTTTCCAACTCTTTATTTTTCAGTTCATGTTTGTATTTACAGGTGAATTTTTTGTAGGCAGCATATAGTTGGGTCATTAAAAAAAATCTATTCAGCCAGTCTATCTATTTTAAATGAAGAGTTTAATCCATTTACATTCAAGACTATTGATATGTGAGGGCTTGTCCTTCCTTCCTTCCTTCCTTCCTTCCTTCCTTCCTTCCTTCCTTCCTTCCTTCCTTCCTTCTTTCTTTCCTTCCTTCCTTCTTTCTTTCTTTCTCTTCTTCCTTTCTCTTTCTTTCTTTCTTTCTTTCTTTCTTTCTTTCTTTCTTTCTTTCTTTCTTTCTTTCTTTCTTTCTTTCTTTCCCTCCCTCCCTCCCTCCCTCCCTCCCTCCCTCCCTCCCTCCCTCCTTTCCTTCCTTCCTTCCTTCCTTCCTTCCTTCCTTCCTTCCTTCCTTCCTTCCTTCCTTTTTAATTGTTTAGCATTGTGGTTTAATGGTTTTATGTAGTGGTAATATTTGAGTCCTTTGTCTTCCTTATTTGTGTGTTTTCTCTCAAAGTGTGTGAATATTTTAAACCTCTCATACATTTTAGAAAGTAGAAACAATTAAACTACCAATGAGGTGAACCAGTAGAAGTAAAGGAAAGGGCCCATCTCATTACATTATTACTAGCATAGAGTAATAGAATTTAGATAATCTTAATTTAATATGAAAAATATTATTTTTAGTTGATAATAATTTTTTCTCTCATCAAATATTTGACAATTTGTATGAATGTGAAATATAATCATTAATCAAAAGATACCATAGTCAGAATTTTTCATTTCTGAGTTAAATTTTTTTCATTCTCTTCAAAAAAATTCTGTTGATACTGAAGAAATGATATTTTTCTGGTCTGGTTATTTTGCATTCTCTGGATCTCTTAAAATCTTAGATGCTTCAACATTTATGTTCTTCTTCAGCATTAAAATGTATTGTACTTTTTTTTTTGTAACTTGGGTTACTTTAAATAATTAATTTTGCATTATGTTTAAGGGGGAGTCACAATTTGATAAATGGCATTATTAATACATTGGGTTAGTACAAACTCTAGCAAGAGTTTGTTCTCTTCCTATCAAAGTTTTTGAAACTTTCTTAGAGTGCCATGTAATTGCTCAGAATTTAAGGATACCTTTATTCCAAATGTTGTACCTCAAAATGACATTTGCTAACACCATGAAAAAGTGGGCAAAGGGCATGAATTGACATTTCCTAAAGAAAATATACAAATGGCCAACAAATACATGAAAAAATGCTCAGTATCACTAATCATCAGGGAAATGCAAATTATAATCACAATGAAATACCATCGTATTCCTGCAAGAATGGCCATTACTGTAAAAAAAAAACAAAAGTCAAAAGTTAGATGTTGGCGTGAATGTGTGGAAAAGGGAACACTTACATACTGCTAATCAAAATGTACATTAGCACAACCTCCATGGAAGATAGCTTAAAGAAATAAGAGTACATCTACCGTTTGATCCAGCAATCCTGCTACTGGGTATCTATCCAAAGTACAACAAGTCATTATGTGAAAATGATACTTGCACACATATGTTTATAGCAGCACAATTCACATTTGCAAAGATGTGGAACTAAGGTAAGTGCCCATCAACTAATGAGTGGATAAAGAAAATGTGGTATATACACACTACTCAGCCATTAAAAGGAATGAAATAGTGTCTTTGGCAGCAACTTAGATGGAGCTAGAGGACATTATTTTAAGGGAAAGGACACAGGAATAGAAAACCAAAAACTGTATGTTCTTGCTTGTAAGTAGGAGCTAAGCTATGGTACACAAAGACTACAGAATGATGTAATGGACTTCAGAGAATCAGATGAGGGAGAGTGGTGGGGAGACTAGGGATATAAAAAACTACCCATTAGGTGCCGTGTACACTATTCAGGTGGCAGGTGCATCAAAATCTCAGAATTCACCACTATATAATTTATACATGTAACAAATACCACTTTTACTCTAAAAGCTATTGAAAAAAATTTAAATGGTATATTGCTCCCTAGCCCCTCCTTATTTGACTGTTACTATATGCTTCTCTGAGTTTCACTGTCTTTGCTTCTTTCCTCCAAAGCCTTAAGCTTTTCAATGAGCACAGCAGGTGGGAATTTTCAAGCACAATTTATAAAAAGCTGGTTGCTGAATGTAAATAAAGGAAGTTTCTATTCTTCTTCATCATGGGCTGAACAGTGTCCCCTGAAAATTTATAAAGTTGAAGCCCTAATTTTCAATACCTCAGAATGTGATTATATTTAGAGATAAGGATTTAAAGAAGCAATTAAATAAAAATGAGGTCATCAGGGTGGGCCCTAATCCAATTTAACTGGATCTTTATAAGGAGAGGAGATTAGAACACAGACACACGCAGATGGAAGACAGTGTTGAAGGCACAGGGACAAGACAGACATTTACAAGCAAAAGAGAGATGCCTAGAGGAAACAACTCTGCCAATAATTTAATCTTAGATTTCTAACCTCTAGAATACTGAGAAAATAAATTTCTGTTGTTTAAGCCACACAGCCTGTGGTACTTTGTATGGCAGCCCTAGTAAACTAATAGATTCTGAATGAGTGTAAGGGCAAGCTGAGATTTAGGTAGGGCAAAGCATATATACCCTTCTTTTCCTTGGAAAAAGAAAACCAAAGTCGTTTCTTAGCCAAAAGGATAATATCAGCAAAGACTTATAAAGCGAATACAATGCTGTTTTTCTCTTTGAAAGTACACACAGTGAAGTGATAAAAAGAATTTTGAAAAAATCTCTAGAAATTTTGATCTCAATATGGGGTTTTAATGATTCATGGAGCCCTAGTCTACGGAACTTCTATAATCACTAGAAATGTGTGTTTATTATGGTGAATCATAAGAGATTTGTGGGTGTCATTTTCAAATCTGAATTTACAGGAGCTTGATTTAATTTAAATTCCTGTCTTCATCCACACAACACTGCAGTCGCAGAATGCTGAGCTGAAACTTCATGGTACAAATATATGATCTTAGTTATCTTGTCCAGGTTATTGTGATATGTAAAGATTAATTTTATACCATGGAAACAATATACACTCAACTTTATTGGACCTCTTATCTTTAGATAAGGCGAGTTATTAATAAGCATTGATTTTCAGCCAAAAAGTTATAGATTTTTCCACAAAAGAGAAAAGGCATACTTTCCTTTAAGGAAACACTACTAACTCTTACTAACAACAATCATGATATACATTTTTACAGTATAGACATTTTTCAGAGTGTTTTTAGTATGCTGGTTTGTTTTAGACTGCTATTACAACCCTAGATGAAAAGTATCATTTTCCCATTTCTGAGTTTCCCAGAGGCAAAATGACTCTCTAAAATCATAAAGTGGCTTGATTAGTTAGCTGGTAATTTTGCTAGAACTCCAGTATTAAGCTTATGGTTTCTGCCACAATTTAGATAAAATTTTTTATTTTTCTTTCCTTTCAGTAATGGTCTGGAGTCAAGAAATGAAGAGGGCAAGCAATGTTTCTGGCATCCCAACTACAGTTACATCCAGTTTGAAGCTGCTGCAATGGCAGCTCAATGGAGTGGCTAGGAACACCAACTCCAGGATCAGGTAATCTTTGAATCCCTGTCATTAACAGCTTTGTGAATTAGGGATAGCAGCATTAAGTTCCAGTGATTAGAAATCAGAGAAAAAGACGTCTTTCTTTAGTACAATGCATCTAGTTTTGTTCCATTAGGAGATAGTTTCAGTCTTCGTTGATTAAAAATGAAAGACACCATTAACATAAAATACAGAAACCAAAGATTACTGATTTACTGGCAATTTTTAACGTTTTTAACGTTTATACTTTATTTTATTATTATTTTTGTTATACTTTAAGTTCTGGGATACATGTGCAGAATGTGCAGATTTGTTACGTAGGTATACATGTGCCATGGTGGTTTGCTGCATCCATCAACCCGTCATCTACAATAGGTATTTCTCCTAATACTATCCCTCTCCTAGGTCCCCACCCCCTGATAGGCCTTGGTGTGTGATGTTCCCCTCCCTGTGTCCATGTGTTCTCATTGTTCAACTCTCACTTATGAGTGAGAACATGTGGTGTTTGGTTTTCTGTTCCTGTGTTAGTTTGCTGAGAATGATGGTTTCCAGCTTTATCCATGTCCCTGCAAAGAACATAAAGTCATCCTTTTTTTATGACTGTGTAGTATTACATGGTGTATATTGCCACATTTTCTTTATCCAGTCTATCATTGATGGGCATTTGGGTTGGTCCCAAGTCTTTGTTATTGTGAATAGTGCTGCAATAAGCATACATGTGCATGTGTCTAAAGTAGAATGATTTATAATCCTTTGGGTATATACCCAGTAATGGGATTGATAGGTCAAATGGTATTTCTGGTTTTAGTTCCTTGAGGAATCACCACACTGTCTTCTGTAATGGTTGAACAAATTAAGTGTAAAAACATTTCTATTTCCCTACATCCTCTCCAGCATCCGCTATTTCATGACTTTTTAATGATCGCCATTCTAACTGGTAGGAGATGGTATCTCATTGTGGTTTTGATTTGCATTTCTCTAATAACCAGTGATGATAAGCTTTTTTTTCATAAGTATGCTGGCCTTATAAATGTCTTCTTTTGAGAAGTGTCTTTTCATATCCTTTGCCCACTTTTTAATGGGGTTGTTTGTTTTTATTCTTGTAAATTTGCTTACATTCCTTGTAGGTTCTGGATATTAGCCCTTTGTCAGAGGGATAGATTCAAAAATTTTCTCCCATTCTGTAGGTTGCCTGTTCACTCTGATAAGAGTTTCCTTTGCTGTGCAGAAGCTCTTTAGTTTAATTAGATCCCATTTGTCAATTTTGGCTTTCGTTGCAATTGCTTTTGGTGTTTTAGTCATGAAGTCTTTGCCCATACCTATGTCCCGAATGGTATTGCCTAGGTTTTCTTCTGGGGTGTTTATGGTTTTAGGTTTTATGTTTAAGTCTTCAATCTCTCTTGAGTTAAATTTTGTATAAGGGGTAAGGAGGGGGTCCAATTTCAGTTTTCTGCATATGGCTAGCCAGTTATCCCAACACCATTTATTCAATAGGGAATCCTTTCTTCATTGCTTGCTTTTGTCAGGTTTGTCAAAGATCAGATGGCTGTAGATGTATGGTGTTATTTCTGAGGCCTCTGTTCTGTTCCATTGGTCTATATATCTGTTTTGTTACCAGTACCATGCTGTTTTGGTTACTGTAGTCTTGTAGTATAGTTTGACATCAGGTAGCATGATGCCTCCAGCTTTGTTCTTTTTACTTAGGATTGTCTTGGCTATGTGGGCTATTTTTCATTTCCACATGAAATTTAAAGTAGTTTTTTTCTAATTCTGTGAATAAAGCCATAGGTAACTTGATGGGGATTGCATTGAATCTATAAATTACTTTGGGCAGTATGGCCATTTTCATGATGTTGATTCTTCCTATCCATAAGCAAGGAATGGTTTTCCATTTGTTTGTGTCCTCTCTTATTTCCTTGAGCAGTGGTTTCTAGTTTTTCTTGAGGAGGTTCTTCACATCCCTTGTAAGTTGTATTCCTAAATATTTTATTCTTTTTGTAGCAATTGTGAATGGGAGTTCACTCATGATTTGGCTCTCTGATTGTCTATTACTGGTGTATAGGAATGTCTGTGATTTTCCCACATTAATTTTGTATTTTGAGACTTCGCTGAAGCTGCTAAGCAGCTTAAGGAAATTTTGGGCAGAGATGCTGGGGTTATCTAAAGGTACAATCATGTCATTTGCAAACAGAGACAATTCTGACTTCCTCTCTTCCTATTTGAATGCCCTTTATGTCTTTCTCTTGCCTGATCGTTCTGGCCAGAACTTTCAGTACTATGTTGAATAGGAGTGGTGAGAGAAGGCATCCTTGTCTTGTGCCGGTTTTCAAAGGGAATGCTTCCAGCTTTTGCCCATTCAGTATGATATTGGCTGTGGGTTTGTCATAAATAGATCTTAGTATTTTGAGGTAAGTTTCATTAACACCTAGTTTATTTAGAGTTTTTAGCATGAAGAGGTGTTGAATTTTATCAAAGGCCTTTTCTGCATCTATTGAGATAATCATGTGGTTGTTTCATTGGTTCTGTTTGTGATGGATTACACTGACTGTATGTTGAATCAGCCTTGCATCCCAGGGATGAAGCTGACTTAATCGTGGTGGATAAGCTTTTTCATGTGCTGCTGGATTTGATTTGCCAGCATTTTATTGAGGATTTCTGCATCGATGTTCATGAGGGATATAGGCCTAACATTTTTTTGCTTGCTGTTTTTCTGCCAGGCTTTGGTATCAAGATGGTGCTGGCCTCATAAAATGAGTTAAAGAAGAGTCTCTCTTTTTCTATTGTTTGGAATAGTTTCAGAAGAAATGGTACCAGTTCCTCTTTGTACCTATGGTAGAATTTGGCTGTGAATTCATCTGGTCCAAGGCTTTTTTTCAGTTGGTAGGCTCTTAATTACTGTCTCAATTTCAGAACTTGTTATTGGTATATTCAGGGATTTGACCTTTTCCTGGTTTAGTCTTGTGAAAGTGTATGTGTCCAGGAATTTATCCATTTCTTCTACATTTTCTAGTTTATTTGCATAGAAGTGTTTACAGTATTTTCTCATGAGAGTGTGTATTTTTGTGGGATCAGTGGTATTATCCCCTTTTTCCATTTTTTATTGTGTCTATTTGATTCTTCTCTCTTTTCTTCTTTGTTAGTCTGGCTAACAGTCTGTCTGTTTTCTTAATCTTTTCAAAAAAACCAGCTCCTGGATTCAATGATTTTTTTGAAGGGTTTTTTTTATTGTGTGTGTCTCAGTCTCCTCAGTTCTGCTCTGATCTTAATTATTTCTTGTCTTCTGTTAGTTTTTGAATTTGTTTGCTCTTGCTTCTCTACGATGTTAGGGTGTTAATTTTAGATCTTTTCCACCTTCTGATGTGGGCATTTAGTGCTAACAATTTCCCTCTAAACACTGCTTTAGCTGTGTCCCAGAGATTCTGTATGTTGCATTTTTGTTCTCATTTGTTTCAAAAAACTTCTTTATTTTTGCCTTAATTTTGTTATTTACCCAGTAGTCATTCAGGAACAGGTTGTTCAATTTCCATATAGTTGTGCAGTTCTGAGTGAGTTTTGTAAACCTGAGTTCTAATTTGTTTGTGCTGTGGTCTGAGAAACTTTTTGTTATGATTTATGTTGTTTTGCATTTGCTGAGGGGTGTTTTATTTTCAGTTATGTTGTCTATTTTAGAATAAATAAAATCTGGTGCTGAGAAGAATGTGTATTCTGTTGATTTGGGTTGGAGAGCTCTGTATATGTCTGTTAGGTCTGCTTGGTCCAGAGCTGAGTTCAAGTTCTGTATATCCTTGTTAATTTTCCATTTCATTAATCTATCTAATATTGGCAGTGGGTGTTAAAGTCTCCCACTATTATTGTGTGTGAGTCTAAGTCTTTTTATAGGTCTCTAAGAAATTTCTTTATGAATCTGGGTGCTCCTGTATTGGGTACATATATACTTACGGTAGTTAGCTCTTCTTGTGGCATTGATCCCTTTACCATTATATAATGTCTTTCTTTGTCTTTTTAAAATTTTTGTTGGTTTAAAATCTGTTTTATCAGAGACTGGGATTGCACCCTCTGCTTTTTTTGCTTTCCATTTGCTTCATAAATCTTCCTCCATCCCTTTATTTTGAGCCTATGTGTGTCTTTGCATGTGAGATGGATCTCCTGAATACAGCACACCTTTATCTACCTTGATTATCCAATTTGCCAGTCTGTGTCTTTTAATTAGGGGTTTTAGCCCATTTGCATTTAAGGTTAATATTCTTATGTGTGAATTAAATCCTGTCATTATAATGTTAGCTGTTTTTTGCTCATTAGTTGATGCAGTTTCTTCATAGTATTGATGGACTTTACAATTTGGTATGCTTTTGCGGTGGCTGGTACCAGTTTTTGCTTTCCATATTTAGTCCTTCCTTCAGGAGCTCTTGTTAGGCAGGTCTGGTGGTGACAAAAATCTCTCAGCATTTGCTTGTCAGTAAAGAATGCTGTTTCTCCTTTGCTTATGAAGCTTAGTTTGGCTGGATATGAAATTCTTCGTTGAAAATTCTTTTCTTTAAAAATGTTGAATATTGTCCCCTACTCTCTTCTGACTTCTGGGTTTCTGCAGAGAGATCTGCTGTTCATCTGATGGGCTTCTTTTTGTGGGTAACCTGATCTTTCTCACTGGCTGCTCTTAATATTTTTGCCTTCAGTTCAAACTTGGTGAATCTGATGATTTTGTGTCTTGGGGTTGCTTTTCTCAAGGAGTATCTTTGCAGTGTTCTCTGTATTTCTTGAATTTAAATGTTGGCCTGTATTGCTCAGTTGGAAACATTCTCCTGGATAATATCCTGAAGAGTGTTTTCTAACTTGGTTCCATTCTCCCTGTCACTTTCAGGTACACCAATCAAACGTAGGTTTGGTCTTTTCACATAGTTCCACATTTCTTGGAGGCTTTCTTCATTTTTTTAAATTCTTTTTTCTCTAATCTTGTCTTCATGCTTTATTTCAATAAGTTTATCTTCAATCTCTAATATCCTTTCTTCTGCTTGATTGATTTGGCTATTGATACTTTTGTATGCTACATGAAGTTCTCATGCTGTGTTTTTTAGCTTCATCAGTTTATTTATTTTCTTCTCTAAACTAGTTATTCTAGTTGGCAATTAGTCTAATCTTTTTTCAAGGTTCTTAACTTCCTTGCATTGGGTTAGAGCATGCTGCTTTAGCTCAGAGGAGTTTGTTATTAACCACCTTCTGTTATTGCTCACCTAGTTCTGTCAATTTGTCAAACTCATTCTCCATCCAGAATGAGTTCCCTTGCTGGCGAAGAGCTGTGATCCTTTGGAGGAGAAGAGGCATTCTGGATTTTGGATTTTTTAGCTTATTTGCCCTGTTTTTTCCTCATCTTTGTGGACTCATCTACCTTTGGTCTTTGAGGTTGGTGACCTTCAGATGGTTTCTTTGTGGACATCCTTTTTGTTGATGTTGATGCTATTCCTTCCTGTTAGTTTTCCATGTAACAGGCCCCTCTTCTGCAGGTCTGCTGGAGTTTGCTGGAGGTCCACTCCAGACCGTGTTTGCCTGGATATCACCAGCAGAGGCAGCAGAACAGCAAAGATTGCTGTCTGTTCTTTCCTCTGTAAGCTTTGTTTCAGATGGGCACCCACCAGATACCAGCTGGAGCTCTCCTGTATGAGGTGTCTGTCGACCCCTGTTGGGAGATGTCTCCCAGTCAGGAGGCAGGTGGTAATGGACCCACTTCGGGAGGCAGTCTGTCCCTTGGAAGAGCTCAAGTACTGTGCTGGGAGATCCAGCTGGCAGACAGGAACTTTTAAGTCTGCTGAAGCTGCACCCGCAGCCACTCCTACTTCCAGGTGCTCTGTCCCAGGAGATGAGAATTTGATCTATAATCCCCTGACTGGGGCTGCTGCCTTTCTTCCAGAGATGCCCTTCCCAGAGATGAGGAATCTAGAGAGGCAGTTTGGCTACAGCAGCTTTGCCAAGCTGCAGTGGGCTCTGCCCAGTTCAAACTTCCTAGGGGCTTTTTTTTTTTTTTTTTTTAACACTACGAGGGGAAAACCACCTACTGAAGCCTCAGTAATGGTGGACACCTCTCCCCACACAAGCTCGAGCCTCCCAGATCAACTTCAGACTGCTGTGCTGGCAGAGAGAACTTCAAGCCAATGGATCTTAACTTGTTGGGCTCCATGTAGGTAGGAGTCCCTAAACTAGACCATTTGACTCCCTGGTTTCAGCCCCCTTCCCAGGGTAGTAAACAGTTCTGTCTCACTGGCATTCCAGACACCACTAGGGTACATATATGTGTATATATATGTGTGTATAAAAACTCCTGCAGCTAGCTCAATGTGTGCCCAAATGGCCATCCTGTTTTGTGCTTGAAACCCAGGGCCCGGGTGTGGGCACCCGAAGGAATCTCCTGGTCTGAGGGATGTGAAGACCATGGGAAAAGCATAGTGTCTGGGCAAGAATGAACCATTTCTCATGGAACAGTCCCTCATTGCTTCCCTTGGCTAGGGGAGGGAGTTTCCTGACATCTTGTGCTCCGAGGTAAGGTGATGCCCCACCCTGCTTTCATTTGTCTCCTGTGGGCTACACCCACTGTCTAGCCAGTCCCAATGAGATGAGCTGGTTACCTCAGTTGGAAATGCAGCAATCACTTGCCTTCTGCATTGATCTTGCTGGGAGCTGCAGGCTGAAACTGTTCCTGTTTGGCCATATTGCCAGCCACTGATTAGTGGCAATTTTATATATTGGAAATATGAAGTGTTGGAGTTTTATTTGATGGAGTGAGTAGAGACATCTTTGGACTATTCAACATAATACACAGGTTTCAGGTTTTGAAGCTCAATTGTAATTCAATAAATAGTCATTCCCTAACTCAGCATAGGGGTGGGTTCCTGGAGAGAAGAAAGAAAGACATCAGAAAACATTGCTTCTTTTATAGAATTATTTGATGGAGGACATTGCTTAATAGGGTGATTTACTCAGTTTTCTAATTATCTATGGTATTTTTAGAACTCACATAAAGCAATCTAATGTTATGGAAATAACATCACACTGGACTTAGATGGGATAGAGAGAGCCCTTGGCCCTCTAGAAAGAATGGATTTGAATGATGCCATGGTCTAAGTGAGTAAATTTATTTCCAACAGCAACAGAGTACAATACAGAACTTGAAGTAAAGCATGTACATTTCTAGAAAATGTGTTCATTCTCTTATGAACTGTTTCTGTCTCTGATTAAGAGACTGGAATAGTAAGCTGAGATGATTCAGGTCAGACTCCCAGGAGCTCAGGCAATAACTCAATCAGAAACAGGTAAGAGCCGAATTGGCAGGTACTGTCAATCACTGCTCAGTTAGATCAAACTGATGAAGACTGTTGGCATGGCTTCACCTGACAAACATTTAGAGTTCTAAGAGAAGGAAAAAATAGGCACTCATACACCTATGTTCTCAAAGTCAAATTCATTTTGGCCATTTGTCTAAGACCCCCTGGAGATTCCCGACAGTGATGAGACCCAGCTTTACTAGTTAGAAAAATAGACTTCTGCTCAACATACCAGCAGTTCTACATGGGTGCTTCCAACACCAATTTATTTAACAATAAACTTAGTTACCAAGTGCTACACTTCCTCTCTCTTGCCTAACCCAGGGAAAAATGCAATTGGTTTTCAATTACTCCTTTTTGACTGAATTTGTCCAAGAAAATATCTATACCCTTCAGTGAGCAGGAGGAAAAGAGAATTTCGGGATGAGGGATGGAGAGGAGTTAAAAATAATGGCAAGAGGAGGCCCACAGGTGGAAATTATGTGTGGCTATTACTTGAGCTCCTGCCAGTCATTGCATTCATGACTTCTGGGATAAGCCGGTTTGTCCAGTTGTGGTTCCAACACTTGAATGTGGTTCCAAGCTGCATTTTGACATTCAGAGTAGCCCAACTAAACAGTAGTTCTTGTTTTCCTTTTTATGATTTTTGTATTCCTGTTTCTAACAATTTTATTTATTCCCTCCCAGGTATTCAGTGACATTTTTCTAAATTGTTTAAAATGAGAAGCATTGCACACTGTGAGTCAAGATCCAAGTGTCTTTGACTGAGCCATCTCAGCTCTGCTATTATGGTGTGATCCCAGGCAAGTCACTTATTTTTCCTGATATTTAAAACAAAGAAATTGAACAAGGTAGTGTATAAGGCATCATGCCGCTCTAATAGCCTGATAGCCCTGATGGAACTGCAGCATGGTGCCTCTCTCTGGGGCCAGGATTCAGCTGCAGCCTTTGCTGTCAGTGAGGTCCTCTCTACTCTTAGATAGCTTCTGGTCCTCAGAAAGATTTTACCCAACTAATTTTGTCCTATTCATTAATTAACAATATAAATATATATGTTTAAATTAACAACTCCTTCAAAAACAGTGAACCATTAATAATAAAATTTTATAATCATCGTAAAACCATCCAGGGCATGGAAGATGGTGTAATAATTCATACCTAATTGCTTTCAACCTTGGGCCTACAAACACACTAGTTAGAGAAATGAATTCATGTACTGTAATTCATGCCAGGTCATGTTTTATTATTTAATTCATCCTCAATACTTGAAAAAAAAAGCCTTTGGTGTTCAAACAGTCCACAAACTCACCATGCCACAAATTCCATGGAGGTCAAGAGAACTTCCTCATTTGTCTATATCACGAGCTCCTTGGATGCGAGTTCAATCCGAATCTTGGTGTTTTCTATAGTACACAGATTATTTTACTTAATAATAGAAATAAGTTACATAATATAAATAATTACCTTAATTACAAGATTAGAATACTGAGAAAACTCTTTGTTAAGGAAAAAAGAGCAAAGGATGAGCAGTCCACAATATGAGTAAAAATAGCAATTTGCAAACGAAACTGTACAACTATAGCAAAATCTTTAACAGCAGAAATTCTGGAGTCAGAGCTATGAGGCTTTGAGAGGGCACACACTCCCTAGTTTATATCTGCAGATGAGAACATGGGATGGATGATCTGTGTTTAAATCTCAGCTCCACCACTTATTTCTTGTATTTAACTCTTAGTAAGTTAAACGTCTCTGAGCTCCAATTTTCTTATCTGTATGAAGGAAACAATGATAGTTGTTAGGAAGATTATATAAGTTTATATAAGTGTTTGGAAAAATGTCTGTTACGCAGTAAATGAAGCATATAAGTTATTAATAGTATATTAGAGATCATGGCATCCTTCCTTAAATGCTTGTAAAGGTATGAGTGTGCTTCATGTGTATGGTAGCTTAGGTGCTTACACATGATCTACCTTGAAGACTGTTTGCAAATGTAACAGGGTTAATTAATCTAGGAGGCTTTAAGATACACTGAGAATGTTAGTATGAGTGAGGAAAATAACATAAAAGGAAAAGAGGCAAGAATGAGGAAAATTTTTGTGTATTTTAGTAATAAGTTAGCAGCATTCAAATGGATTTTTTTAAAAACTCAACAACTAGGATTTTTCTTCTCGGATTGTTAGTGTGACATAAAGATTTCTGTTCATGAATCTTTGTTGGAGATACACAGTGATTATTTTAATAAAAGAATACATCATGCAAGGAAAGAGAGACTGCTATACTGATTTTTTTCTTGGGTACAAATGCATAGTTTTCTGTGTGAAGGTCTAAAACAGTGTTGCTGCACTTCTGGAGTGTGTTTTTCTGCCTCACAGTGTCCAGGGCTGTCAGCTGAACCAATACCCATAATGATCGAGAGCTTATCAAAACCAAAATGGTAAATACATTTCTATGGGATTAGGTGACCAACTTCTTTAGCAAATAACCAAAACTCAGAGAGGGCATCTGCTTGGATTTTGTATCAAAAACTCTACATTTTTCTCTTAGTCCATCAGCTATTCAGGGTCAATTAATGTGTGTTTACCTTGCTTAACAGAAACTGTTCTTAGGCAAGAGATGCTGCTTGCTTTCAACATGAAGTGTAAATCAGAGGCTGGGATGAACCACACAAAGAAAGCAAGTCAATAATACTGTCTAATGGGAAGCTCAAGGTTCTAATCCCAGCTCTCTTGCAGAAGGGCATTTAATTGTTCTAACTGTGATTTCCTCATCTGTAGAATAAAGAGATTGGATTAGATAACCTCCAATATTGGTTCAAAGTAGTCTATGTGTTTTATTAGTTTCAGAAATCTCAAAGTCGATTTGTTAACAAGGATATCATAACATGTTTGTGAATTTGGGGATATGTCTAGTATCCCTGCTTTTTTTTTTTTTTTTTTTTTTGAAACGGAGTTTCACTCTTGTTACCCAGGCTGGAGTGCAATGGCGCGATCTTGGCTCACAGCAACCTCCGCCTCCTGGGTTCAGGCAATTCTCCTGCCTCAGCCTCCCGAGTAGCTGGGATTACAGGCACGCGCCACCATGCCCAGCTAATTTTTTGTATTTTTAGTAGAGACGGGGTTTCACCGTGTTGACCAGGATGGTCTCGATCTCTTGACCTCGTGATCCACCCTCCTCGGCCTCCCAAAGTGCTGGGATTACAGGCGTGAGCCACCGCGCCCAGACCTAGGATCCCTGCTTTTTAATGTACTAATTTTGTCTAATTATTTTTTATATTGATTAAATATCTTTGAAGCAATTATTATCATCCAGGCACACAGTGGGAATATAACATTTAAAAATGATAAATACCCCTGCTCTCAAAAAAAAAGATGATCATTCATTTTTCCAATGAAAACAATACCAATCTGGGGAGTAAATTGAATATATATATATATATATATGTACTTTTAGGATAACAGAGAAGAAGTATTCATAGTATTTATGCATTTGTGATAACATCTCCAGTGCATCATATACATAATGCTAATGTGAAGTAATACTTTGTTCACTCTCACATTTCATAAAGCAATATTGGTCATGCTCTTTAGAAAAGTATTTGTCATTGGTGTCTTCCGTCATCAGAGCCACTTTAATAGTTGTTATCACAGTTTGCCAGAGCATGTAATCTTTTCTCTCATCTAAATTGTTTGATTTACATACTTTTTGAAGTGCACGTATATTATATACTCCTCCTGGAAATTCTATACTAAGCCACAGTTTCGTAAACATGATCTCTGCATGCAACAAAGTCATTTGCTCTCTGTGTGTGTGTGTGTGTGTTTGTGTGTAGCAGTTTTTAAAAGGCTTATTTACAGCAACATCTAACGCTTGTAGCTAAGAGGTCATCCCCCAAGAATAGTAAAAACTGCTAAAGTTTTTAATTTTTTAAAAAAGTTTTTTATCAATTCAGTTAGATATCCTCTATGAACTGGTATTGATTGAAGAAGTCATGAGGTAAAGCAATTTCTCTATAAAAATAATTAGTTCTTCAAAAAAATAGTAATTGAAAGAATTCCTTCTATCTGAGATACTCTAAAGGGATTCCTAAATAAGGTGATTCTTCCCCTTTATTGAGAAGATTATATATGAAGCTTTGAGAGTGCACATACTCCCTAGTTTATATCTGCAGATGAGGGCATGGGATGGATGATAATGGAAAAATCATTTTTATATTCGCTATAAATCCTGATCTTACAACTATTGGTCACTGGACACATTCACCTTATTATAATAGCAGACATTTTAATAATACATCATACAACTTAACTTTTCTTTTCTCTTTCTTTCCTTCCTTCCTTCCTTCCTTCCTTCCTTCCTTCCTTCCTTCCTTCCTTCCTTCCTTCCTTCCTTCCTTCTTTCTTTCTTTCTTTCTTTCTTTCTTTCTTTCTTTCTTTCTTTCTTTCTTTCTTT